TTTGATTTATTGGTTTATTTTTATAAAATTACTCTAAGCAAAATTTGAAAGTTTAAGTCATAATGTAACCTATTAACTTTATTTATGTAATATTTAAGGAAAAGGTTCTATAACTATGACTCACTCTGATATCTAGAGTTACCTTCCGGTAACACCTAGTTGTTTGGTATCCGCCGCCGGATTTACCAGGGCCTCCTTGGCCGCCGCTGGTAAGCCGTGTGGAGAGCGGAGTTTTTCTTCGAGTTTCTTTGAAGCTTCATTTTTTTTTGTTTCGTATTTGGCGCTTTTTCTTTGGTGGTCTCGACGTTGAGGGCTAGGAATCCACGTCACTCTCCTTATTGCCGAACCCCACAGACCAGTTTGGTGGTGAAAACGTCCAGCGATAATTCCGAGGGGAAGGTAAGGAGGAGGGGCTTTGCACGGAAGGTGTTGTTGATAAGTATATGAAGATGGCGCTTGAGGAGGAGGAGGAGGATTTGGATCTCGACGACACAGAGGCGGAGGAACCACCGGTGGAAGAGAGCAGGCCAGGTTTTGCGGTGGTAGGGGTCCCGTTGACAGATCGCAAAGTCAGATTTCCAGCTATCAAAGAGCTCATGACTTCGCTGTGGAGGCTGGGCAAAGGACTCGCTCAAAGAAGTCGGGGAAAAAAGATATCTTTTCACTTTATATCATCTTGTGGGTATGAACCGTGTTCTTGAGGGAGGACCTTGGCAATTTGAACGTAATCTGTTGTTGTTGAAAGAAGTTAAGCCTGATGACATTCCTCATAAAATTGTTTTGAATGAGGCAGATTTCTGGGTTCAAATTCATAATGTCCCTTATAGCCTTGTCAATTTAGGTACTGTCAGAAGGGTGGGAAATTTTATAGGAAAATTTATAAAATATGATGATAATCAAAACAGTACAAGTGGGAGGCTTATATGAGAATAAGAGTGTGTGTGAATGTGGAGAAATCCCTGAAAAGAGGTACTAATCTGCAGAAAGATGGCAAAAGCTACTGGGTAGACTTCAAATATGAAAAGTTACCCAATTTCTGTTTTATTTGCGGTTTAATTGGACATTCAGATAAATTCCGCCATTTAAATTATGAAGAAGATCTCGTTCTGGAAAAAAAGTTTAGAGTCCAACTTAGAGCAGGTAGCGAGGGGAAGATGAGTCCTACAGGAGGAAACCAATGGTTACTAGAGGGTTCATCGAGCTCTGGCAGAGACCAGGTTGGGGGTAACAGGTCTGAGGACAGGTTGGGGGTGGAAGGAAATAGTTTGTTGCAGATTCCGAGCAGAGTATAACGAAGGGAGTAGCGGGTGATGCCAAGGAAGAAACGGCGGGGGAACAGAAGCGAAGGAGGTTATGGGAGACACGGGGGGAAGGGCAAAATGGAAAGGATAACATGGCTCTGGATGGGACAAAACACGGGGAGGAGTCGGACTTCGATTAGTAAGTCCGCCTAAGTGGATTCAGAATCAAAGGCAGAAGTTTTGGATGCTTGTGCAGTTAGGCAATTTCGGACAACAGCTCAAGTTTATCAGTTTTATTTTTTTCTTTCTAGATGATTCTGTTTGTTTTGTGTTTTGTTTTGCTTTTGCGATTCCTTGGTGTAAGACGATTGATTTGGAGATGGGGATGAGAGAATCGGCGTAACCGTCTTTGGCTCATTTGTGCTCATTAATAGATCAACGAGTTATATTGCTTCTATTGAAGTGATTAACTCTAAGTCTGGTTCGCGGGATGACGGTTGTCAGGATTCTGTTTGTCGAATTACCCACTATCTAAATGTTGAGATATCAATTTAAGTCTATTTCTTCCACACAAAAAGGAAAAAGTTCTATTATAAGACGTTAATACATCATACATACTTCGAAACTATATACTTAGTTTTACAGAGTCAATGGTAAATATGAAATTTATTTTGGCAAAACCGTCAAATAAGTCCATATACTTTTATGAAAAAAAGTCAATTGAATCCTTATACTTTAAATTGAATCAATTAAGTCCTTGAAGTGTTAAAAATGATCAAATAAGCTATTTGGCATGTGACCAGGCGGTATGGTTACTTGCTTACGTGGGTGTCCAACTTGTTCTTTTTTTACTGTTTTTTATACTTTCATAATTTTCTTTCGGTGACAACTCCGGTACCCATTTAAAAAATGGAGTACCGTACCTACCATTCACTTTTAAAAAAATTGGTCCATGTCATTATATCATTTTTAATTTAGATTTAAATAATTCAACTGCAACATTCTCATTGATTCATGTGAACAAAGGTATGATACTTTATGAGTACCATAGAATCTACCTTTTCTTTAATTTCCTTCTCTCCTTTCTTTTTATCTTTCTTCTTTCTCCCATGGAGTCCGCACTCCTCTCCTGCAAGTCCATGGCTCCACCACCCATAACCCATTTATTTTTTACTTTCCATGACAAACGCTGAGTTGGTAGTTGCATTGCTAATATGCAAATTCCTTCTACATCACAAAATATGTCTTCTCTTCAGCGGACCTAACAAACAATTCTCTTCAGAGATTTCTTACCCCCTCCAATAGATCTTTACGAAATCAAATAGATCGATGAAATTGCTTTATTTTTGAACTATCAAGAATTTCATCTGGTAAGTTTTTGGCTTTAACCCTTGTCTAGAACTTGACGGTGTCGTTGTTAATCCGCCGCGTTGGCCGTTCAGCTTGCCGGAGAAGCGCATCAAGCATCTCTGTCTCAGACTTTAGTTCTGTGCACTCCCGGCTAGAATTGTGCTAACCTGGTCTGCCAAGTTGCCGATTGGATAGATTTTGCCAGAATCTGTTTCACTTTGGTCACCATTACCAAGCCTAAGATAGATGAAAAGAATTAGAGCAGTCTGGGAGAGAAAAGAAAGACACAAGAAAAAGGAAAGGAAAAATTAAAAAGTGCTCGATGCAAAACAATAAAAAAGCCACGTAGACATTCACATACGCAGGTAACCGGGTAACCGGCTGGGTACCTATAAAAAAAGTATGACACCCCGTCCACGAGGGCCCCCAACCCCTACCGGATGGTACGTTGGAAGGATGTAAATTGGACTATAATCCCAATCTGACAGATAGAGAGTGGGACAACTGAGTACCTATGAAATAACTTAATTGGTTGCATTTCAATACTTTGGAGACTTAATTGATTCATTTTAAAATACAGATACTTAATTGACTTTTTCATAAAAGTACAAGAACCTGATAATTTTCCCATTTATTTTTGAGCAAAAAGTCACCACAGAAGTAATGGTTTCAACTTTCAAATGCAAATTCTCTACCACAAGTTCTCAACCCTAAGGCCCTGTTTGGTTGGAGGGTTTCGGAGGGTAGGGGAGGAAACTGATGGATTTGTGTGTGTTTGGTTGAAGGAAATAGGGGGGAAGGGGAGGAAAGTGGAAGATTTTCAAAATCCTCCACTTCCTCCCATTCTAAACCCCCCAAATCGGGGTATTTCGGAGAAAACGTGTTGATAACCACAAACTATCCATCTTCTACGTGAATGAACAAAACGTTATAATATAAAAAGGAAAAAAACAAAACATTTTGAAAAATTAAAAAATTAAAAATTTAAAAATTTAAAGATTAAAAAATTTAAAAATTAAAAAAAAAAAATTTTTAAAAATTAAAAAATTTAAAAATTATAAATTAAAAATTTTAAAAATAAAAAATAAAAATATTTTAAAAATAAAAATTAAAAATTAAAAATTCCAAACTGAAAAAAGAAAAATTATAAAATTAAAAAAGTAAAAAATCAAATAAAATAAAATTATGACTCATGACCATAGGAGTAATATTCACAATAGTTAGACATGTATCTATTTTTTTAAGTAAGCTATCAAATAAAAGTAAATTGCGAAAATATTTTCATTAAACCTTACCTCCTATTTCGTCCAACCAAACACAAATTTTTATCAAAATCATTCCTTCCTCTTCCTTTTCCTTCCCTCCTTGAATCTCCCCTTCCCTCCTCTCCTTTGAACCAAACAAGGCCTAATTTTTCATTCGCATCATTCTACCTCAAAATTTTCTTCGTTATCTAAATTTCTAAACCTCAGTCGAGCTATGATGCAAGAAACCGTGGGATTTATTGAAAACGTAAAATGACTACTTTTAATAGAAAAACTAGTTCAGTACCCGTGCAAACGCACGGGAAATAATCGATGGATACACTTGTAATCATGATCTAATTAATTAGAAAAACAAATTAATTTTAAAAAATTGGGATAATTCTTAAAAGCGAGTACAATAAGTCAATACCATAAACTTAAATTAATTTAATAAAATAAATATTAAAAGTTAAATAGTAAACTTACATGTTAGAGATTTTGGAAAACCTCTTTGAATACAACATTCGTAGTAGTGTCTAAAGATTTTCCATCCTTATCATGTATTAAAATTTTCAATCCATGCTTGCTCTGAACTCTAGATAATGCCACATACAATTGTCCATGACTAAAAACAGGTTTAGGCAGGTATAATCCAACTCTTTTCAGTGACTGTCCTTGAGATTTATTGATTGTCATTGCATATGAGACCATTATATGAAATTGTCTTCTGATAAGTTTAAAAGGCCATGGTGATTGAGAAGGAGACAAACATTCGAGGTATGTAAATCTCATCTCCACCATAGCTTTCAGACATGATTCTTGCTCCAATGACATGATTTCCCAGTCTGGTGACAATCAATCTAGTTCCATTACATAGTCCTTTTGACTGGTCTATATTTCTTAACAACATTACTGGAGTCCCAACCTTAAGTCGTATCCTATGATTTGGAAGACCTGATGTTTTCAAGGAATTTAGAAACTCTGGTGTCAATGCTTCAAATGCTTCTGCTTCGACTACATCTGATTTGTCTATAGAATCGCAACTTAAATATTCTCTGTCTTCACCTGTAGTTATAAAATTTCAATGGACGTAATTTTAATATTTAATTTGCTTAAGATTTTATTGTGTCAGTAAATAAGCAAAGTAGCATTTGTATAATATTACCTGGGAGCAAGGAAAGAACATAGTCGTTAATTTTATCGACAATTTCAATAGTCGATGCTAAGATAGCTCTACACTTGAGAAATTCCTCATTTTTGTATTGCTCCAGCAAGTTAGGATATGTGCTTCGGATTATTGCATCTATTGGATCATCAAATTCTTTAATCAAGAATTCATCTGGAATTTTTATTTCTGCATAACCATCATTTGGCTCTGATATTTTTCCATCCCCCACATCCAATATCCATTTTGAAAATTCTTTGAGCTCAGTAGCACTTGTCATATCCAAACTATTTTGGAGCCGCATATTTTTAGTAAGAGACAATACCTATGAATAAGCAAAAATATACTTATATTTGATTGTCATAACTTATAAAGTAATTATTCCAAGAAAAAACTTCTAAAATGATAATTAGTGTTTTCTAAAGTATCGCAAAATTAAACATATTGGTTATGATACTAAATGTAGGGTGTGTTTCGGAAAATAAAGAGAATTAATTAAAATAAATTAATTAAATAAAATGACTAGAGAAAAACAAGACAGGAGATGAAGCAGAATTAGTCAAAGCTCGTGCTACGCACGATTTCCTTAAAACGTATTTGTTGCTCCCACGGTGCTAGAGCGTTGCAACAATCGTTTCCCAGGATACGATGACTACGAACTAATGTTTGAGCACACAAACAAGAGTTCTAGCGAACGAGAACCAAGTATGAACACAGAAGGAATTTTGCAGAGTAGCTGAAGGTGTTTTTAGCTCAAGAAATTCGTGAGGAAAGTATTGTGCGTTGTGTCAAACCGTGTGTTTGTTGCAAAGCACCTGCCAGGTATTTATAGGAGGATTTGTTGTGTGTTAAATGGGGTGTTAATGGACCTGAACGTTCGTATCTCTTGAGAGATAGATTTTTGGACGGCATTCGTGTCCGCAGGTCGCCCGCGCACACGAGTTGCGGTTTTTCTTCTCCGTTTCGGGATTTGAGAAGCCCCCCCTGCGCGTAAGAGAGAGACTTTCCCTTTAGGAATCTTAACTCCTTAAAAGAGGCTTCCCTTTATAAGGGGGTGAAAATCCCTTGAGTTTTTTGGTGTGGGATAAAACACACTAGAAACTCACCATTTTTCCAGTTTTTCCATTTCAACGAGTGAACTTCGAGAATCAATTTCTCATTCACCCGTTATCCGTTTTGAGTGTACCACATATCGAATTGTAGCCCTTAACAAGGACAGTCCGAAACCACTTTGACCCGACCCAAATCGGAAGTGGACCCCACTCAAATAATGGCCCAAAATGACCATTTAATGCAATTTTTAACACATTTTTCCAACACTAAAAAGTGAGTTTAATACCTGACAATCTTCTCATAAATATGAAGAATTTATTGTAGCATTAACGATGTCTGAACGGCTTCCTCCAGGAATAACGGGTAAAGTTTGTCTAAAGTCTCCTCCAAAGACAATCACTCTTCCTCCAAATGGTGAATTAGAATCACCATCATTATTAATGATGTCACTTAGGCTTCTGTCTAATGCTTCAAAACAAAATTTATGAGCCATTGTTGCTTCATCTCATATTATCAATTTAGTCTGTTTCAATAGCTCTGCAAGTTCACTCCCTTGATGTATATTGCATGTAGAGTTCTTCAAAGTAGGAACTGGGATTGAAAACTTAGAGTGTGCAATTCTACCTCCTGGTAAGAGTAGAGAAGCTATATCACTGGATGCGACAGTTAAAACAATATGACGCTGAGAACGTAAGGCAGAAGCTAGCGTTCTCCACATAAATGTTTTTCCTGTACCACTATAACCATATGTCCATTTTTACTCTTGCACTGCAATGAAAACATATTAGAAAATAAGAGTACTGAAATTTGAACAAATATTGAGTTCAAAGATTCATGCTATATGCATATACAGAGAGAAAGAGAGAGCAATATTCTGGTTAGGACTTCCTAATCAGAATCGTAATTTGCTCATCCCTATTTGAGGTAGTTCCCGGTGAAACTTTTAGATGCATTTTTGTCAGAATGTTCTTCATTAAAAAATCTTAAACTATGAGAGTTGTGTTGGTAAAACTGCTTAACCTCACAATGAAATGGTTGTTTGAAGGAAAATGGCTCTGATTGTGTTAGCGTAGAGCAAGGCAAAGAATTTTAACCTGTTGGCTTATTGATTTAGAGTAACTTTATGTACCTTTATTAAAATATCAAATGAATTTATACATTTCAAGGGTAGTTTGTAATCAGATTGTTCTATTTGTTTTTCTCGATTAGGATTATCTAGTATGAACTTTAGGAGAACTTACAGGTTTGGCCGGATTTAAGGTATCCTATTTTGAATAAAATATTAAATAAGAATGGAAAAACTTTAAAATTGTGTTTGTGTTATGAAGTAGATATGAGAAAGAATCAAAGAACTCCTAGATATGGGTATCTTCCTGCTAGAAGATGGGTATCAAAATCATTCCTTCTTCTTCCCTTCCCTTCCCTCCTTGAATCTCCCCTTCCCTCCCCTCCTTTGAACCAAACAAGGCCTAATTTTTCATTCGCATCATTCTACCTCAAAATATTCTTCGTTATCTAAATTTCTAAACCTCAGTCGAGCTATGATGCAAGAAACCGTGGGATTTATTGAAAACGTAAAATGACTACTTTTAATAGAAAAACAATTATTTAGAGTTTCTAAAAAAATCGTATAGTTTCCAAGGCAGAAACGTACTTTTCCCCAAAAAATCCATACTTCATAAGTTCATAGGCTCATAGCTGCAAAGTGTCTGTCCAAACCTCTGATCCTTTGTTTATATCATTTGCAAAAAACTATGATAATAAAGTACAATTGCTGAAGTGTTAAAAATAAACAACGAAATTTGTCAGAAAAAACAATACAGATGACTTATATGCCATGAGGCATGAGGGGACTACGAGAAGAAAGACTGTAGGAACAAAACAATACTTGAAGTATAGTAATTAACTTAGAAACCCCACCCAAAACAATGCCCTTGCAAGACGAGATTGAGATTCTGGGTGTGCATGACAGACATCCTGGACTTCAATAGTCTATTGGAATTCATTGGTTAGAATATGGCGCAAAATGGCCGCCTCTGTTTTGGTATGAATCAAATCAATTTCTACATTCTAAAATGCAGACAATACCAATCCACTAAGCAAAGAAACATGCATTGACATTGAAACATTGCTGTCACAGAAAATCCCACCATAATTCATCTTTTATTTCCTAGTAGGGAGAAAGATTGAGTCTTTATCTGTGATTTCTTTCTTGTGAAATGTACTTCGGGCAATCTTAACCAAGGCTACAATACACGTTAAGAATAAAAAAGCAGAAACAGAAACGACGAATGAAGGAGTAAAAGAGGGACAGATCATCAAGGTACGTGTCTCCATGCTCATTGATGCAAACCGCTCGCCTGGTTGCTTTTGCCTGCGTGTTGGAATATATGATCATAATGGGGAACCATTTTCAATATTTTACACTGAAATGTGTGGCAAAATGCACAAACAGTACCTTAGTTATTGGTATTGCTGCACTTTGGTACCTCAACTCTTAAATGAAACAAATCACTACTATAACTATACGTGAATGTTTCAACAAACAATATTATTCAAATTTCGGCCAAAAAATCAACATGTTGGCAGGAATTCTATGCGTGTCATCCACCATACAGTGATTAAGTGGATAAAAAATAATGTACAGTGGACTGTAGACATGAAATTCTAGCCGTCACGTTAGATTTTTTGACCGGGAGTTGGAATAGTATTGCCAATTGAAACATTTATGCACACGTTTGGTTACTGATTTGTTTCATTTAAGAGTTAAGGTGCTAAAATGTAAGAATACCGATAGTTAAGGTATCATTTGTGCATCTTATCCGTGTGAGGCCTTATAATGTTGCTTGTTTGTTTATTTGTAATAAAATTAAAAGGCCGTGGGAGATTTCACACTTGATACAGTTTATAATATACCTAAAGAAGTTCTTGAGTGACTTCCACATATGTGGAACACTTCTGTGTGGATGATCTGAATCACATTTAGAGAAAATAATAAATAGACAAACAAAAGGGGGAGAAATTAATGCGCTAAATTAATTATTTATCAGAAACATGATACAAAATACAAATGATCTGTAAAGTGTAAACTAAATTCTAAAGAACATAAAATTGTATTTTAAGAAAGTATACCATCAGAAGGCACAGAGTGGTCCTTGGATGCAGCCCTGATTGAAGCCAATGCCTTGAGGAGATCTCGTTCTTCATTACTGACATAAGGTAAATTACACGTTGATGATTCTAGTAAACTATCTTATGTTACAATGCAGAACCATGATACTGATTGGAAACACTACTACCCAGGTCACAAGAACAAACCATCAAAGTTAGTTATGCTTATAAGAATGAACTTCTAAAGGTGGCCTAAAAACGAGAGAATAACCATTTAGATAAATCAAAATTCATCATTTCTCAAAGAATAGTTCAAACCTGATGTTCTTCGGGATTCGGACATTGACAATAAAATGATGATCTCCTCGCTCATGAGGTTTACTCATATTTGGGACTCCCATATTTTCCATTTTCAAAGTATCTCCAGGTTGACATCCAGGAGGAATCTTCAGATCTCTAATACCATCCATAGTTTTGACCTGTGAGCGATCACAACCCCAGCACCACCAAAAACATGGAAAACAAAATACAAATAAATAAATTGGCAAACACAACAGTGGTAAAATAGAGAAGAGCTAGCTTAACTTTGTAGCTGGATGACAAAATGCAAAAGGCTAGAGTTAGCAAGGCAATAATTGAAATACAAACATATGCATCAAAATACATTCAAAGCTGTAAAAACAAGGTAATGAACTTATGTTCCAAATACTATGGGTTGAATATCAAAGTATCCCTAAGAACCAAAGATTATGTGTAGCCAATAGGGGACACTTGTAAAAATGGTTTCTCGACCAAAAATTTCAGCGTAAGCTAAGTAAGCTTGACTAAATAAGTACATTACGGGTGAGTCAGTCAGAATATCAGAATAATATGCAGAATTGAATTGACAACTAAAATCATATTATATTTTTATATTATCTTCTGCCATCACACAATTGTTTACAGGTATATAAAAGACAAAGACGGTGTTACAAAGGATGTTCATATAAAATTGGAAATTTTCAAACTTTCAATCACCCAATCCAATTATTTTGACTATATAAGCAGTTTACACTTGACCCAGAAAATAGAAGGGAGAATTATGTGCATTAGAGTAAAAAGTTCCACAATATGTAAATTTTGAAAGTGAAGAAAGGGTATAGGATAGATGGATGAGATGAAAGTGATAAAAGGTTTCCGAGCAGTTTACACTTAATTGGTGATTCATACTACCCTTTTACTACCTTGGTAATTGTCCCCAGAATGGCTCCTGTGTAATCAACGTCTACTTTTGAGTATAAGTTCAGACCATCCCTCAAAATTCCATTCTCTTCCTCGACATGGATGACCAGAAAGAGGTTGCCGGCAATGCCCCTGCAATCAAGTAATCAAATACACAGCATCACTTCATTGTTCATAGAGTTTAGATCTTTATCACTTGTGACAGGATCACAGGACGATTGAATGTCTAAACCTGAAGCACGGATAATGAACACATCTGCTGGGCAAATAAGTAAATAGTGTACAATATGAGAGGAGAAAATAATGTGCTAATGTGTGTAATGTATAAAACATTCCCTGTTTAACATAAAATGATATGCATAGTACAAAATATAATAACCCAAACAGTCTACCATGACAAGAGTTAGAGTTACAATATAACATTCATATATACCTTCTGGCTCTTTTGATCTCCTCTTTCATTTTTCAGCATGTCCCAAAATAATCTTCACATTTTCCTTTTTGGTAACTTTTTTGAAAAAAACATAAATTTTATCTAGATCAACTCACGCTCAAGGGAAAAAGAAAATCTAGAACATCAATTGTTCACTCTTAAACTCTGTGTCTAATTAAACCAAAAGAGATAAAAGGGGAGTGAAGGGAGTAATATTCAACACTCTTCAATCCAGAGCAAGTCATATACAGTATACAGACAAAATGGATCTTAGGGTTACAACACAGTAAAACATAACAGCTAGAATTTAACCCCAAGTAGAATGGAAGTGTTAAAGTCTCCATTCAGGATGCAAATTGGGAAAACAAATGCATAGATATAATAGTAGATAAATAACTGGTGGATTTACAGATCAAATTTCAAACCACTGGTATCCTCTGAGTTGCGGATGTAGAATAATAAATTACTTTTATTGGTATAGCGTTTACCTTGCAACTTCATACTTGAACCGATGACTAATAGTCTAATACACTTCCTTTATAGAAATGTAACAGGCCCTAAGTGTAATGGGATACACGGCTACATCATCATTATCATCATTACCCCAGTGCCGCAAATGCTCCCATCTACGGTGGGGTGAGGGGGTCGGATGTACGCAGCCTTACCCCTGTACAATGTACAGAGAGACTATTTCCGAATTACCTATAGTGAAAATCACATCGAAAATTGCATGAATTGACTGTTGCTTCATAACAAAGAAGCGCATACAATTTAGTGAGCTATTTTGCTTTATTCCATCATTCTCAAGCCAAAAAATAGTGAGTCTTTGGCACTATTGCAAATGATGGAAATAGGATACACGGCTACAACAAGAGATTTAAAGGGTTCTCGATCGAGTTGGGATGGGCTACACCCTAGTGTACTAGGCTACACCCTAGGGTTTCTGACCAACATAGGATTTATATTACTGTAACATATTTCTTAAACGTTAACAGGGGAGGAAAGCTAGAACAACACTTGTAGGAATATGAGATCTCGTTTTGAAACACACCTTGTTTTGTCTATGTTACCCTCTCCTCGAAGTTGCATTGAGCTACCATCACTGACTCCTGGTGGTATAACCACTCTCAAGCTCCGCATTGATTTTACTTGACCCCGGCCATTACATTGCCGACAAGCATCTGTTATTATCTTGCCATTGCCACTACACTTTGGGCAAGTAGATACCTAGAAATTATAAGCATCTTTTAAAAAGTAGCTGGGTTTCAAATACAAAAAGGTCAAAGGACTTTGATTGCTGACCTACATGTACACTCAACAACTGTTAAGATGGTTTTTCAATTTATGTATCTCAATTTTGGGAAACAATATCAAAGAAATTATAACCACTAAGGCCATGTTTGGTAAATGACTTATCAGCCATTTTTTGGCTGGTTTGACTGATTGACAAGCTAAATCATATGTTTGGTAAATAGCTTTTTCAATTAGCTTCTTCATCCCAAAAGGCCAAAAATTTAGCTGGTTGGAAACGCCAAATGGGGCAGCATTTCTTGTTGGCTGATTCACCCCTTATCGTTTTTTACTAAATCCTCCTAATATATACTCCTACTCCTGTATGAATTACTCCAACCAGCTAAATCATATGTTTGGTAAATAGCTTTTTCAATTAGCTTCTTCATCCCAAAAGGCCAAAAATTTAGCTGGTTGGAAACGCCAAATGGGGCAGCATTTCTTGTTGGCTGATTCACCCCTTATCGTTTTTTACTAAATCCTCCTAATATATACTCCTACTCCTGTATGAATTACTCGTACATAATATGAAGCACGCCCTTACTCCTTACTCTTTAGGTCAGCTTTTTTATTTTTTTATTTAATTTTATATTTATTTTAGTTAAACACACACGTCAATATTTCTTTATGTTTGCTGATACTTATAAAAGGAATTATTTTAACCACACTTCAGTACTTATAAGTATGTCAAATAATGTTTATTTTGCAATGTCTATTCGTTTTATTCATATCAAATTATATTATTTGTTTTAGTTTATTTAATTTTTGGTGTAGTTCTATTTGTCAATTTTAAAAATTTATAAAACACGAATGATTCCAACCCCAAAATCTTTTGGGATTAAGACGTCGATGTTGTTGTTGTATAAAACACGAGTGATTATAGGTATAATTGGTTTTATAACAATAACTAAAAATAATAAATATATATTATTGTCTGTATACGTCTTTTTACACTCTAACAACTATTATTCAACAACAAATTTTACCAAACAGTTATTGACAACAAGCTAATCAAATCAGCCGGTCAAAACATCTAACACGACCAGCTATTGTCAAACCGCTATCACAAGCAGCTGACAGCTAAACGCTAACAGTTGATTGCCAAACAAGGCCTAAGTGCATGGTTCAAGTTATATGACTAGTTTTCTGTCACGGGACCACTTTTTGTCCATGACACTACACAATAGAACTTTCTAGATATGGGCTTATGCAAAGCATTTGTAACAAAGTTATGGGGGGTATGGTTTTAAAATTTTAATTAAAAATCACTTTATGATCTAAAAGAGAAAAAAATTATCCACTTCCCCAAAAGTAGTGAATTTGAGCTTTTGGGAGTAGAGGTAAAAAAAACTAAAACAGTTTTACTCTTTTTAAAAGTGCTTTTTAAAAATATGTCAAACACTTATTTTGTAGAAAATAACTGCCTTTTCTCTTTATCTCTAACATTACAAACAAACTTTAAAGAAATGATAATTTAACATATCAGTAAAAGGTGTGAGATCTATTAAGTATTAACATATTGGTAAAACAATTAACTAAACCCATTAGGTGGGGCTAAGGGGCTATTTACTTTTTTTTCTATCAAGTCTTGTCTGGATTAAGTGGTATTTGTATATGAAGCCGTTTACTTTTTGTTCTGAATAAACGGTCTGAAATTTTGAATTGTGTAAAATAATGAATTTAGTATTATTCTTGAGTTGTAAAGCCAATAAGAATATTCATTTATTAACATAAATCTATTTCATAATCGATTTAAAAAAATTAGCAAAAAAGATGTCTATATAGACGTCTTAATGGGAAGGAGTACTATATTTCAGATTAATAATTAAGTCAGTTTTTGACTGAATGATTAACTCGTGCTTTCATTTAAGTTGCAAGTAAATATGACTTAATGGCTGAACATTAAGTCATTGTTCTCATTTAAGTACATTAAGTCTAAAGTAAACCTCCTCTTTGTATAAAAATCAAGAGGCATCACTTGTTCTTGTTTAGAATTATATCATCTACGGTCCCCATGTGCAAGAGGTATCAAGATCTAGCCTAATTACCTCTCACCAAATTAGCTAAACTCATTCTATACTCTCAAACAGTTAAACATATGTGTTTCTAGTGCCTTCTAACATGTGCGTATGTTACATGTATCTGCATATTGCTATATATTCTCAAGCGATTCTATTTCATCTTCTCACCATTGAGGCTACTCGTACTCTCTTTCAAATCAACTCATTTCTAGTTCTGGCTACCTTACTTAGGCCACAAACCCATCTCAACATTCTCATCTCCGACATCAACATATAGCGAACATGCAAATATTAAAATGCCCAACCCTTTATGCAATGGCGGAGCCAAAAAACGACACAGGAGGATCGAAACTCAACCTATATATAGAATGAAAATGGTGGATCGTTTTTAAACTATGTTGTATGGGCTCCATGCCCATACAACATACTAGGTCTAATGGTTATTATATACTCCACATGTCCCAAATATCAGGCGTATTTGGGATAACTAAGTCTTGGCATAAGTTAAAGTACATACTCCATAGCTAAACTTAGTTTACGTTACTTATTAAAATTTAAATACTAAAAAGTGTACTAAATGTTCTAACACAAATATCACATTTGAATATTGATAAGAAGTTGATGTAAAAAAATAAAAGGATAAAAGAAACTAAGCCGATCACATGAAAAGTTACAACAACAACAATAACAACAACATCCAAGCCTTATTCCCAAAAGATTTGGAGCCGGCTAACATGAATTGATCCATGATACCAGGGCAAAAAGAGAAAAACGATAAGAAAAATAAAAAATAAGGTAAGATAAAATGGATAAGATAAAAAAAACATAAGAACATATGATGGATAAAAGAGAAAAGAGATAAAGAACATAAGAAAAAGAAAAGATGAAAATAACATAAGAACAAAGAATGATAAATAAAATAAAAGATAAAAGAAAGAAAGAGAAAAGAAAGAAAAGAGATCAATCATTTCCACGTTTATGCGCCCTCCACTTTGCTCTGTCCAAATCCATACTCTCATCCAATCCAAGAAGAAGCATATTAGTTCTGATTCCTCTAATCCAAGTCGGTTTGGGTCTTCCCCTTCCCGTCCTACCTGCATGTTCTTCCCATTTCTCAACTCGTCTAAGAGGTGCATCACACAGTCTTTTACGCACATGACCAAACCACAGCAATCGAGACTCTTGCATCTTATCTTCTATAGGAGCTACTCTCACTTTTTGTCTGATTACCTCATTCCTCAAGCGGTCTTTTCTGGTATGTCCACACATATAGCGTAACATACACATCTCCGCCACACTCGTCTTCTGAATGTGACATTGTTTCACCACCCAACACTTTACAACATACATTAGTGCAGGCCTAATTGATGTCCGATAAAATTTACCCTTCAGTCTAGTCGACATACCTCGATCACATAGAAATCTAGATGCACTCTTCCACTTCATCCACCCTGCTTTGATTCTATGGGATACATCTCCATCTAATTCACAATCCTTCTGAATTATAGAGCTCAAATAACGATACATGTCACACACCGGTATCTCCTTTCCATCAAGGATAATCCCACTGTTACTACTATTTCTACCTCCACCAAACTTGCACTCCATATACTCAATCTTACTTCGACTTAGTCTGCAATCCTTAGTCTCCAAAGTTTATCGCCATACTTCAAACTTTGTTTTAACTCTCGATTGTGCCTCATCAATCAATACAATATCGTCGTCAAACATCATGCACCACAATATATCTTCTTGAATTGACTTTGTAAGTTCATTCATGACTATAGCAAATGAGAAAGGACTCAGAGCCGATCCTTGGTGCACTCCGACAGTAATGGCGAACTCCGCAGTTCTCCCGACACTAGTACGGACACTTGTAGTACAAGCCTCATACATATCCATGATGATACTGATATACTTACGTGACATGCCTTTTCTAGTCAAGACCCACATAAATACTTCTAGGCAAATCCCTTTTAATGTCTCTATACTTCTCCACAACTTGTCTAAGAAGATGAATAACCTCAGTTGTTGAACATCCAGACATAAAACCAAACTGATTTTCTGAAATTCACATTTTTTCGGAGTCTTTGCTCAACCACTCGCTCCCGAAGTTTCATGGTATGGCTCATAAGCTTAATCCCTCGATAGTTGACACATTTTGTACATCACCCTTATTTTTAAATAGGGGGATAAGAGTACTCTTCCGCCAACTCACTGGAATTTTGTTGTTTCTCCAAATCATGTTGAAGAAATGTGTTCTCTTCTTCACTCCACATCGACTCCCACCATACCCTTGCATATTTGACACCATCCTCGGACATTGGGTGGCGTGTCGCTTCCGCGCAACGACCTAGCAACCTTAGCATTCTTATCACCATAATCAGGCCTATGAAGTATAGTGCACCCTTGCATATTTGACACCACCTTCGGGCGAAGGGATGACGTGTTGGTTATCGCCAACAACCTAGCTGTATCGATATTCATATTCTGATTCCTGTAATGTGATGTGACTAGGTGATACTATTGACCGTCACGCGCCTACCACAACACCTCCTTTATCCTGGCTTGGGACAGACATGATACCAAAAAATGATCTCATGGCAGAGTTCACATGAAAAGTTACTAGGACATTAAAACGGGTCACATGGATAATAAAATTTCTTTCAGCTTAAGTGGAACTTTCTATCACCAGTAAAACTAAGTGAAACATACTAAAACGGCCAAAGGTGAATGTAGATGAGAGATATGTGAGAAGTGAGAACTCAAGATCCAACCAAATATTTGAACTATATTAAACAATTATGATTATCAAAAGTAAGCTATTCATTGAATTGGAAATTAAAATGGTCTAGTCATTTATTGGAAAGTGCAATTTTACGAAAAGTATTAGACGTTAGTCCTTATAAAAGAGGACTCCTATCCACCAAGCTATTGGCCAACTATGAACCATAAAAGTCTGTACTCAAGTGAATTAGTACGTATATTATTGTATTAATGGTCAATCACGGCTATTACCTGAGACACGACTCCAAAGGGTGTCTTCTCTGTTTTCACCACTCCCCCTCTTCCTTGACAATTAGAACATGCTTTTATGCAACTTCTGGACTTTGCTCCAGTTCCTTCACAACCATCACAAGCCTCTAAACAAGGTACTTCAATATCACGTTCTCCTCCAAATATTGAATCTTTAAAGCTCAAGTGCAAGTCATATCTACACTACATAAGCTAAAATGAACAGACTTTATACAAAAAAAAATTAAGATGTTAATAACAGTTGGTATTACTAAGCACTGCTTCAATATTACCCAATCCTCTGTATTAGTTTCAGTCGGATGTATTACTGATCCTTTCAACATCATCACCTAACCGGTAACCTTGATGCTTATTTTTAGATTAATTTTATATGATCTTTGCAGATAATTTACAGACAGGTTTTTAGAGAAAGAACTGCAAGCTGAGTATTGTTTTACATTGGCTGTAGAACTCCGATCAACATGTCAACCCAGAAATAGAAAAACTAGAAAAGGTTGAAGCCTCAAATTAATCCAGATAGGTCTGACTTTTGAACAGAGAGCAAACAAATGAAAATAGGCAAATGAACCATAGCCCTAAGGGCTGTGTTTATGCATTAATGATAATAGAATGGTCTAGATATCATTCAAGAAATATTCATTTATTCAATGGTTAATAGGGTCCCTTGATGAATTATTTGTTGCTGGAATGCTAAACGGAAAATATTCTTTGATGATTTAGATGGTAATTTATGAATACCAATAAAAATATTCTTTTATGATTTAGATAATAATTTATGAAAATCATGAAGAATATTCTTTTCTCATTAGTGCTTGAACATAGCCCCATGTGTTGGGGTCAGCCGAAAGCCCGGGCCCAATAAATATAATGATAGCATATTAATTAAATTAAATTAAATTACCTAATATCAAGATCCTGACGCCCTGCATTGCTGAAATCAAAGTTGAACCCCCGTGAACTACCACTTCCTCCGAAAAAGGAATGAGAGTCTCCAAAATATTGGGTGAACATTTCAAAAGGATCTATCTGCTTGGTTTACATATTCACAATGAAAAAACAGACATTAACAACCAACATGCAAACTGAAAAAGAGCCGTACGAGTATACGACTGCATATGACTTAGAGAGTAAATAAAAATTATAAACAAAAGGCAAATGAGCAAATCCAGCAGAAATGATTGACATTGACACGAGCTTACCCCTGAAGCACCATTACCAGATTCGTTATATTCACCCTGTAATCCGGCTTCACCAAATCGATCATATAAAGACCTTTTCTCAGCATCTGATAGTACCTAGAGAAATGCTTTTTTGTCAGAGAGCATCTAAATACCCTAGTCAAATCTAACCTAAGTCGTACACAATCGCTTGCAAACAACTAACCTCAAATGGAAATGAACCTTAATTGAACCAAAGATTAGTTAATCAACACAAAAAGCTCAAGTTGTACATAATATGCATGAATGAGAAGAAACTGTGATTCTTTCACTGGGGGGGATAAAGATGTAACCTCATATGCAGAACTTATCTCTTTGAACTTCTCTTCAGCCCCCTGACCCTTGTTCATATCAGGATGATACTGCTCCAAAACATCAGAAATTCAAAACCCCTTAGACCTTAGTTACCCAACACAAAAAGCGTACACACAATCATTATATAATAAATAGCTTAAAGATTTTCATGGAACAAAAAATCAAATATTGATTAATTCAGGTATAATTTCGGAGTTAGAAATCATTAATGCTAAAAAGTAACTTACTACATTCAAGAAAATAAATCAAATCCTGAAAATGTGGAATGATTGGCTGCAACTAGGATGTGATGGATTGCTACATTGTTATCTAAATAAAAAGGATGACACCCCATCCCCTCCCCCAACAGGAAGGTACCTTGGAAGGAGGTAAATTGGACTATAATTCCAATCTTATAGATAGAGAGTGGGGCTGTCCCGGTACTTGCAGAGGCCTATGCATTTTTAGAACCTATGCATCTTTAGAACCCCATTGAGGGGATTCGGCACCTAACCTTTGTCACTCCCTTGCTACCAGCTGAGGGACTCCCACGGGTGCTACATTGTTATCTTAAATGCCCAATGAATCCTCCATTTCCAATAAAGATGAAATACATTTCCAATAAAAGAGCTACCCCCAATTGAAAGAGCTGTCAGCACAAGGCCAAAAACTGCAAGCATACAGGTAAGAGAACGTACCTGCCTAGCAAGCCTTCGGTAAGAGGCCTTGATTTCTTGCAAAGATGCGTTTTTGCCGACATTTAGAACGGTGTAGTAATCGGAGCCTTTCTTTGCAGCTGCAATAACGGATGCAAAGCGCCGGGGATGGGTGGTGAATGGGAATAAAGAAGAGCCCGGTGAGCTGCGAAACAACTGGGTTTGGGGTTTTAAAAAGGTGGATATTGGAGAGAAGTGGCAGAAAGAACGAGTTGAGGGGGCGAAGTTGGATAGTTTGTTCCCAGTAGAATGGGGAGCGAGGAGGAAGGTGCGGTGTTGATTGATATGGATAACTGGCATCGCGGCATAGATACTGGTGGAAATCGCCAGCGGCAACTAAAAGGTTTCCTGCCCTTCCGGTTCCCGGAATCTGTTATCTCTCTGCTCTTCTTGTGTTTCTGGCTTTTTTCAAATTTCGTGTTCAATCGGCAAATATGCAGAAGTCCATGCTCATATTTCTGCATTCCAGTGAAAATCGAAGAGTAAGGGCATGTTTACTAACTATATATTTTCCATTTTCCTTTTTCAATTTTCTGTTTTCATTTTCCAGTTTTTCCATCTCTAATTTTTTGTTTTTATTTTTTAGTTTTCCAATTTCAAATATGAAAACATGTTCATACAATTTTTTTCACCCGGTTCTCTGACTGACAAAAGATAGAAAGTATGATCCCAGTCCAGAACCAAAGCTAGTACAACCCAAGTAGGATATCGGGTCCCACATATAGGAAAGTTGCAACCGAAACTGATCGGTCCCGATCGATCTCAACAGTTAGTTTGATGAATTCTTTTCTCATTTCTCTATTGGTTGACAACTCAATGGCTCTTTTAAAACTCCTCACTTTAAAAAATGATTTCGAAAAATCGAGACTAAACTGTCTGGTAACTGACTGGCCCTGACAGGGATCGTCGGGTCGTTTACGGGACTGACTCAGGACTGCCCGGTTGTTGACCGGACCAAACAAAGATCGTCAGGTTATTTGACAGACAGGATGGAGACTGTCGGGTTATTGATCATACAGGATGGGAACCATTGGGTGATTGACCGAACAGGACGGTGACCGTCGGGTCATTGACCGGACCAAACGGGGACCGCCGAGTAGTTGACTAGACCGGACCCGACCTTATCGACCCGACAATCGATCAAACCGAACAAGTATCGTCTAATCGTGGATCGGATATGACATGGGCCGTCGGGTCATCGACCGGACCGGACAGGGACCACTGGGTCATGGGCCGGACCGGACATGCACCGCCAAGTCATGGACCAGAACGGACAGGGACCGCCGGATCATGGACCGGACCGGACAGGGACCGTTGAGTCGTGGATCGGACCAGACAGGGACCGCCAGTTCGTCAATCGGACCGGGACCATCAGGTCGTCAACCAGACCGACACCGTCGGGTCATCGATCGGATTGGACCGGGATTGCTCGGTCGTCGACCGGACCGGACATAAACCGTCGGGTCAATGATCGGACCAGACCACTGTGTTGTTGACCGAACAAAATAGGGACCGTCGGGTGACTGACACCGAGCGGGACCGGATCCAACACTAGGCGTAAGTATGCAAATTCATTGCAACGGAACTGCAGCATCCGCGTTTTCCAAATTTGGAAAACTGGTAAAAGTCACTTCTCCAATTCATTAAGGAAAACAAAGACATATCTCATTTTTTGGTTTTGGAAAAAGATTTGGTAAACGCGTTTTTCTGTTTTCCTTTCTCCAGTTTTCCAGAATTTTTTTGGTAAACGCGTTTTCTGTTTTTCAGTTTTCTAGTTTTCTGAAAAACTGGAAAATATCTCTGTTAGTAAACAGGCTCTAAAGATTTAGAAATTAGGAAAATTCTACCGTACTTCTTAAATTTGGAGGGTTTCCGTACCTACATTTTTTATTTGTTGGAATTTTCTATTGGTACACCTAGGTCTGTCACTAGACTGGACCCGACCCGAATTCAGTTGTTTTTAATGGGTATGGATCAATATTTTACTAGTATTGCATATGTGCGATGCACGACTGAAATAATCCTAGTATTTTAAATCAAAGAGTAATACTCCTTCCGTATTTTAAAGATTGTCACATTAGATGACTCAAAAAAAAGATTGTCACATTAGCTTCAACACATTTAAGGAGGAAATTAGTAGGAGTAATGAATATTGAAAAGTGTAAAAAATGTATGTGAGAAGGTGTAAAAAATTAAAAGAGGATAAAAATTAAAAAAGTAAGAGTAATTAAGTACTAACTACCTCTATCCCACGGAAAAACGACACGGTTAGTTAAACAATAATTAAATAAGTTAGTTCGATTATATTTTGAGAAATAATTTTAATAGGTATGCAATATAATGAGGTTGGTGTTGATAATTGTGATGTTATAAACGTGATATTTTAATATTTAATGATTAATGTGTCATTTTTTATTGTTAATTGTTTTTTCTAAAATGGAAATGAGAACCTTTATATGAAACGTCCAAAAAAGGAAAGTGAGAACCTTTTTATAGGACGGAAGGAGTATTTCTAAAGGGAAAACTTTTCAAATGAGAAAAACGTAGAAAACTTTAAAATACTGAGAGAATACGTCAATGTAAAAATAAAACATAACAAAATTAAAATATCAAATTAACAAAAATTAGAATGTTTCATAATATAAAACCTATTGGTAATTAATTCAATTTTAATAATTAATATTTACACATTTAGAGACTACATTAAAATCTCTATAAATTGCAAAATCCAAATTAAAATTTAATTAAGAATTAATATCCTAATTAACTGAATAAAAAGAACATTTTCCATTCTAAAAAGAGAATATGTTTGACCCAAAAAACAATTTGGGGCGGATGGAGAAACATGTAAAACCTAAAGATTTTGAAACTCACACTTCTACCAACGAGGACATTTGCTTCTAAATTGTAATCACTGAGACTTGTTACTAATAACTTTGACATATATTGGTAAAAGAACATTGAATTTGAAGTTTCAAATTCTAAATTAAAAGAGAAACTACTACTTAAAAGAGAAAGTTTGCAGAAATGTAGTGGAACAAGCTTGGAGCTCTAGTCGAAATCAAATTCTACTAGACAACAAGTTTTTAGGGTTGAGTTGCGTAAATGGGGCAAGCACTCAGACGGGGTTCCAGAGAAGAACGAATGGATGTAAAATACAAAGAGAAAACTCTCAAATAGGCCCTCGTACTTTGGCCAATTCCTCAATTAAGCCCTTGTAGTTCCGAATCACCCAATCAAGGACGCGTACTCACAAAAAACATCCAATCTGCCTTTTTAGCTGGTTGACACCCGGTTAGCCAGTTGAAGGCTGACCTGGACTCCAACATGTCCTTCCGTTACCGGGCATTTAATCTGACTTGGCTTTACCCCACTTGAAGTCCGCCAACGCGCCTAAAGGATTGTAAAAATCCCCAAATTCCTCCCGTTAACTGAAACTCAACCTGCTTCCTTGGATTTAGAAAAGTAACGAAGCCTTAAATGAGTTAGTTAGTTGACGGGAGTTCTACCTCAATGCGAAGGAGAGGAAGGTTCATTGTTCGAACGGCGGAGCTGAAGCCCAGTGGTGCGTAGCGTGGAAGGAAGCTTGTTGGAACGTGGGAATTTGAATTGAAGTGGTGAAAAGTCATGTAAGGTACGTTGTTGTTGTTCACGATTCTTTGCCCTTTTGGATGAATTATGGGTTAAGAATACTTCTGAACTTCACAATTTGTATACATATCTTCATGTTGGGTATAACTAAATTAGTTTAAAGTTTCCTTGCTCATGTTGCTTAGACAACCCTAAACCCGAGGTTTTAGGTCTTAAATGTAGTCTCTTGATATGACTGTAATGGTGAAGTTCAATGAATGTTTTGAATTTAATGACTTTACTTTGAGGTGAAATGCTGAAACTATATTCTTATATTTTTTCAAGATGTTTGAGACAGTAGAACTAGTAGTACATCATGGGGGGACATTCAGTTGTGATTCAAAGAAGAAGTATGTTGGAGGGGTAGTTCATATAGTGCCTGCAGATCCTGATGTGATTAGCTATCCCCACCTGAAGAAGTTCTTAGAAGGTCAAAGCAATGGCTCAATTAGAGGTATTTTCTTCAAAACACCAAGTGGCACTATGGAGTCCTTGAATGAGTTAATCGATGATGATACTGCAATGAACCTAATACAATTAGCTAGAAGTTGTGGGAAGTGTGAGATCTATGTAGAGCATGCACATGATGAATTACACTCCCAAAGAGATGATGTGGAGGCCCATAGTGAAGACCATGAAGCAAATGCACATGTGGATGACATTAATGATGACATAGATGTAGGTAGTGATGCCCCAGGTCATGAAAGTGATGTTGAGGAACAACATCACAGTGGTAGCTCAGAAGCAGACAATGAGGATGAAGAAGAAGGGGTGCTACATGATGTGGAAGTTCTTAACAACAATTCAACACCAATGACAAATAATGTTCTTGAGATGGAACACATACAAAGTCCTGACCATGGGTTTCAGAATGGGAGTGAAGAAGAAACTGATGAATATGACTCATCTAACCCACCTAGCTTGCATTCTGAGGGAGAAGATGAAACTCAGTCCAAAAGGCCAAGTAGTGGGAATGGTTCTTATAACCCAGAATCTGAACCTCCCCACTTTAAGGTGAGAATGTTGTTTGAAGGCAATGCCAGGTAGTACAGTGGTCATTAAGACAGATAGAGTTGTAGCTGATGCTCCCATGGTTTTCCAACGAATTTACATGTGTTTTGGACCTGTGAAAAAAGGGATTCTTGGAAGGCTGTAGGAAGGTGATAGGTTTGGATGGTTGCTTCCTTAAAGGGCAGTTGAAGGGAGAGATTTTAAGTGCTGTTGGAAGAGATGTCAATAATCAGATGTATCCAATTGCTTGGGCAGTAGTAGAGATAGAAAATACTTCTTCATGGACTTGGTTTTTAGAGCTTTTGAGGGAAGATCCGCAGATAACAAACCCAACTCAGTGGACCATTATTAGTGACCAACAGAAAG